GAAAGGATTTAAGGAAACAATCCTTAGCACTCACACAGGGCAGGGAATAAAACCTGTTCTGATCACCAAGTACAAAAAAGCCTCTTAATTTATGGGGCATTGAGTGGAATAAAGAGTTCTGCCTCAGGAATGGGGAAAAAAAATTAGCCCTAGACCAAGTACTGCTCTGGTCACACCTGACACAGTTTAAAAGCAAGACTTGAAAGGATCCAACTGTTTCCAAGTAACTTATCCCAGAAAAAAAAGCTTAAGAATATTTATAGGAATACAGAAATATCCTGTACCCAACAAGGAAAAATTCACAATAGGGATCCAATCAAAAGTCATCAGGCATGCAAAGAACTATTATTTTAGTATTTTAAAGAGTAATTTCCTTGGAATTTTACTGAATCTTAAATTTTCCTTATAAACAAACACAAAATTGTCATCTTTGTTATTTTCACCCTGTGTGCTAATCTCAAAATTCCTCCTCCACATCATTTCACTGCTATTCCCCATATGAAATATTAACACTTCTAAGGCAAGCAGCATAATAATTAAAAGCGAAAGCTTTTGAGACAGGAAAACCAGGATCTGAATTATTTCTTCCCAACTTATCTCTGTATTCCTGGAAAAGCCAATGAACCTCTCCATGTTTTAGTTCACTTATCTGTAAGATGGGTATGATAATATTTGCTTCACAGGGCTACTATAATAAATAAGCCAAAACAAACAATAAATAGTAACTATCATTTAATAATATCACATTATCATAAGAAAAGTTACCATACACACATGCAAAAACATTTACTAAGTGCCTATCATTTGCTGGGTAGTTTACAGACACTAGGCATACAAAAGGGAAAAAAGGAACCCAAAGTATATCTTATGTTGAACCCACATTTAAAAGTTAAGTACAAACTTCATATTCTATTTCTTCATTTCTAAGTAGGGCAATTATTTTAAGTTCTTCCTATAAAAATTAAAGAATGATTTTTTTTCTCTTTGAAAGGAAAAAATAATCTTAAGAAGTTGTCAGGTTCGACCAATTAGGGCATGTCTGAGGAATACTTGGAACCTGAAAAACATGGTAAAATTTTAATTTAAAAGCAACCTGCAATTAACATCACCTTTCAAAATTATTCTCAAATTAGTAGACTAAATTATATTCAGCCATAAAATACATAAAATGGACCAATCTGTTATTATGATAATCATTTCAGAAAGGCTGGGCCAACAGATGTAAGGAACAAAAATCAACTTCAAGTTTGTATTTCATTTGCTCATTCCACTTAAATGACTTCAGATGGTTTAAATATTAACCTTATTAATAAAATATCTGCATATTCACTATGAATCTGATTAACTTACCCTAACTCCATAAATTAATTTTATTACATGGCTTCCCACTTCATCCAAGGTCCTGTATACCCCCATTGCTCAAAGCATGGTCCTCAAACCAACAGCATCATTGTCACCTGGGAGTTTGTTAGAACTACAGAATCCTATTCCCCATACCAAATCTATTCTGACTGAGTCAGATTTTGCATTTTTAACAAAATCCTTAGATGATTTCTATGCACAATACAGTAAACTGTTGTGGGGTATTTTTTTCTCACCTTTTTTTTTAACTGTCAGAAAAGTTTATTTGCTTATTAATAAGAATAATTCAATTCAGAGAAGTAAATCATATATATGCTAGATATCAATATATACACATRTGTGTGTGTGTGTGTGTGTGTGTGTGTGTGTGTATGAATCTTTATATCTCAGACTTCATCTTATCCCTCAACTAGGACTTCAAGTCTTAATAGTCTTGTTATACTATTCATTTTTTCTCTTGGGTTGACATTTTTGTCTTAGCATGTGGCCAGTGTGATGAAAGTCTTCTCTGTAATTAAGCAACTATATAGTACAGAGCCAGGAGAAGAGATTTTCTCCATAATCTGGGGAGAAAAAAAGAAAAAATTCAAAATAGGTTTATCCAAGGTTGAACCCGAAATTTCTTTAGAGAAAAAAGTTACAAAAAAAATTATCAGAATGATTCTATCCTCCACTATAATATATTTCTGTGCTTTACCTAACATATATTTTTACTGCAGGTACCACATGTTTTTAAAATAAGAAATTCACATGGGACTTGAGAGAGTACAGGTCTTTAGATGGCATCATCTTTTATTATTATTACTGCACAACAGTCACAATGTCCATAAAATAGAACAAATCTTATTTCTCTTTCATTTAAAAAAATGACAAACCTAAGCTGAAACTGATCACAGCGGGCAGRATGGTTCGGCACAGATTCAAAGGAAGGTACAAATGTTCAGTTTTCAAAAGCTCTGCAAAAGCCAGCTTCATCTCTTGTCACTGTGGCCATGGCTTCATGCCAAACATTTGAAAACTGCTGAAAAGTGCTGTTCCTTCTAAACAATTATGAAGAGCTTTGCAAAGGGAAACAAATGTAATAACAATCAGTTTCTTAAAATGGTCAAATGTCCATGGCTTCTGGTTTGCAATGTAAGAGTTACCCAGCTTCAGAGACAGTGCACCCAAACCAGATGTCTTAGAAGAAAGGGTTAAAAAGTTTTAAGTTATTAAAAAACCTATTGGAGCAGTCTCAAAAGTTAAATATGTCCTCAAACAAACACAGCTTTTTATAAAATTCAATTATAGATCCATCATCCTTGAATTTAACTCTTTCTCATCCATTTTTGTATTTTCAGACTATATCATTTTTCAGTACACAAAGTTCCACGAGAGCACAACTAGGTATTTAATGTTTTTTTTTTTTTTGAGAGAGAGAGGGGGAGAGAGAGAGAGAGAGAGAATTTTTTAAAATATTTATTTTTTTTTCTTAGTTTTCGGCGGACACAACATCTTTGTTGGTATGTGGTGCTGAGGATTGAACCCGGGCCGCACGCACGCCAGGCGAGCCCGCTACCGCTTGAGCCACATCCCCAGCCCTAATGTTTTTTTTTAATAGGTCTATTGATTTCAAGCTTTTAGGAGAGCTCTTTATTCTAATATTCTAGAAAGTGATGCCCTATCTCTACTCACATTCAAAGCCAAACCTCTTAGAATTGTGTATGTACTTTGACTTCATTTCCTCACTCTTCAGTCCACTCCTATTGGCTTCTACTCCCTTCACTCCACTGAAGCTTCTCTTGGCAAAGACTGTAAGGGCCATCATGGGGCTAAATGCAATGGACATCCTTTAGTCATTATTTTCTTCATTTTGCAGCATCATTCAACAAAGTTAATCAGTCTTTCTCTCCTTGACATAACTCGTTAGCATTGATGAACCTTTATTTTCCTGGGTGCTACCCAACTCTCTGTCCCTTGTCAATCTTCTTTGGAGGCTATAGCCTCTCTACCTGACCTACAGATGTTGGACTACTTTGGGGTTTGGTTCTGGAATCTCATGTGATCCCAGGCTATAAATATCACCTTTATGCTACTAACTCACACCTTCACTTCTTTAGCCCAGATCTGTCTTCTAAATCCAGAACAGTATATTCAACTACCTACAGTTGGGTGCTTAATAAACATTAAACTCAATGCATTCAAAATCGAAGTCCTGGATCTTTCCCTCACTGTTCCTCCCCCATTGCTTCTCTTTCCCAACAGTTTACCAAGTTGCTTCTGCCAGAAACACTGCAGTTCTTTACTTTCACCACTCACATACAATTCATCATCAAATCCTATCATTTTTGGTCTCTAAAATACATACCCAATTTCCCCATCTCTACTGCCATCCCCAGGTCTAAGCCATTACCATCTCTGCTCTACAACACTGCAACAATATTCTATATGACCTACCTGAATCCACTCATATTCCCCCACACTGCAGCCAGAGTGATCTTTGAGATGAAAATGCTCCTGCTTAAATCTTTTCAGTGGTTTCTTATTGGTTTTTAGATAATATTCACAAGACATCTGCCTGCCCCCACAGAAAGCCTCACCTCATGCTATCATTCCCTTTGTTTCCTAAACACCTATTGGCCTTCTCGCTAAACATTATAATGTTGAGATTTTTTTTTTCAAGTGTGGAGCCTTTCCGCATGTTGTGTCTTCTACCTAGAATATCTGTTTTCTTCTTTTACTTACCGTTGCCCAAAATACACAAAACATGCACACACATCTTGTACAAGTGTGTGTCCTTAATCCAAAACCCCAGGGTCCACATCAAACAATCAATCAAACCACGGTAACTGAATGACAGGTAATCGATGGTGTTAAAACATACCACCAGACCAAAAAATAATGACAGCAAGCCCTTAGAAAACTTAATATATACTAGGCATCATTTTAGGTGATTGATGTATATTAGTGATTTAATTCTCAAAACAATCCTATAAGATAGGACTGCTATCTATTATCTATTTTCTCTGTTATTAAGATGATATTAAGATATTTTTATTTTAGGATAAAACAAGATACAGAGATTAAGTGGCTTAATCAAGTACATGGAAATTAGTGGCAAAGTTTGAACTCAGGGACTGGCAATTTGGCTCAATGGTAAAGCATGCATTTAGCATGCAGGGCAGGAAGCCCTGGGTCAATACCTGTTGGGCCAGGGCTTGGCGCACACATATACACGCACATAGGAAGCTAAAATTCAAATTTAGTCCTGTGTGAGTGCTTGAGTATCAAAGAGCATGACAACTTGGTTATGGATGATTCAAACTTCACTTCCATAATTTACATAGATAGAAGCCATTTATATCTTGCTCATCGCTAGAACCGTAGCACCCTGAATAGAGTCTAAGCATATGTCTGAAGCTCAATAACTTGTTTAATATAAGAATGTTTACTATTCCCTTGCATAATTATTTTGAGATTATAGTGGATTCCAATTATGCTTATTACTACACACACATCTTATGTAAGCTGTCGGCTTGCCCATTCCTCAACATGCCTGTCCTTCTGTGTCCTCTCCTCCTATCCTTTTGCGACCACTGGTCATGGTACTGTCTCCCCCGGGTTGTGAGCAGGCAGCCATGCCTGAATTTTGGCCTCACCTTCCACGTGGTGGAAGCGCTCTGCTCAACTTCTGAGCCAGGACCAGGTGGCTCTCCGGTACCCAACAGCATGAATCGGCCATACCGCTGCAGTGGCCACTGTGCAGCTTCTCCTCCGGGAAGGCCAAGGCCCACGGCCACTTTTCCCGCCTGCGCCATGTCTGGGTCTGTCACGCATAGCCTGCTGGGACCTGCCAATCTGTACAGCTAGCCAATCAGAAAGCGAAGCAATCCAAGACCCACCCTTCCCCTCAGCAGAAGCCAATAGGCAGGCTCTGGATGCTCTCCTAGCGGGTACTTAAGGCCTTAGGGTCTCTTTTCTCCATACGTGCCCAGCAGAAATGATCTCGATTTCTGCTTTGAGGCAGGTTGTGATACTTATATGATAGTAGGTCTTGTGGCTGCAGCAATGGAATGGGGCCCTCACCTTCCCTCAGGCAGCCCATGTCACTGTCCAGCAGCTCTGACTCTTGGGGAAATTTTGCAAACTGGCTGACTCCTCGTAACTGCTGTACCCTGACCAAGCCCCATCCCTGAGGCTGCCTACAAGGGTTTCCCTCTTTGCAGCAGCCTTTCAGATGACAGTATCCCGGCCTCACCATAACAGCCCCAGTTCTACCAGTCATTCAAGGAGTGGATTTATTTTCTCATCATTTTGTTCCCCCTGTAATACTACCCCAGACTGTCATTTTTTTTTTTTTCATCCCAAGAAAGTAGCAGATGGGTAGGGGGCGGCCCGCAACAAAAGCAGCAGGTGCAACTAAACGACATTTCTGTGTGATTTATAGTGGACCAAGCACTTCTACATCTGTTATTTCATTTACCTTACAATAACCTTGTGGTGAACTGAAGAAGCAAAATGGGGAGTGTTACCCCCGTGGAATAGAGGGAGACAAAATAAGGTCCAGAGAGTAGACGTGATTTATGCAAGGTTACACAGTGAGTGAATGGCAGAGCCAGAATAGAACTGCGAATTCCACAATTTCTCCCAAGTGTCAACCCCAACTTGCAAAGAATTTAGGCATTCATAGAGTCTGTGTCAAGTCAGAAGCAAAGTATACAGAGGGTGGAGGCTATGTTAACCAAATATAAGATAAAATACAAACTATTTTTTAAACTATGCACACCAAAGTATATTAAATGCATAGACAATGTTTGGGAAGGTGGTAATTTATTCACTCTACAAAGCATCATGTATCCACAGTGTGCAAATAACTATGTCAGTCAGCATCTGGTTATAGAAAGGGGTAAGGTATCCATCTCACTTCTGGGACCTCAGGATCTAATAGGAAAACAAAACAAGGTACAAACATAATGATACCTGACAGTTCATGAACTCTAAGGATTCAGATAAAGTAAAAATCTACCAACTGGGAATGCAGTGGTATTTGAGTTAGGACTTGAAGGGTGAGATTTCCCAAGGGATGGATGAAACTGGTATTCCTGATGCAGGGGGAGGTGAGGAGCAAAGGTGCAGAGATGAGGATAATGACATAACTAGAAAGAACATAAAACTGTTTTTTTTAAGAAAGAGGGGATTACAAAGGCGAGTTGGGGCAAAAGATTATGGAACAGCAGCTAAGGAGCATGGATTTCTCATGGTAGGTAGTGAGAAATGTGGAAAATATGGACAGGGGAGTGACACTATCCTAGTGGTAGTCCAGTTAATTGCTCAGTGGCATATGGAATAAGTTGGATTAAAGGCAAGGGGAGTTCGTTATCTTTTCATTAGTCCAGCAAAGCTTACCGAAGGAGTCAGATTTCAGAAAGTTCTTCTGAAGGTCCTTAAATGACACAGCAACACTGTACTTAATATAGTAGGACATGGTTAAAAGCTTGGTTGGAATCCCAAGTCTGTCACTTGCCAGCTGTGTGACCTTGAAGAAGTCATTTAACTTCTCTGTAAAATAAGGTTATTAAATCACTAATCTTTCAGAGTCATTGAGAGGATAAAATAAGAACATACATGGGAAAACACTTGGTAGATTGCAAAGTAGTACATGTGTTGATACTTTCTGTTTCCAGGGTTAAAGTGACTTTCCATGGGCTTGCTATAGGAAGGGAGGATGGGAATGGGAGCCTGACATTGGGTCTCAGAGGCACTCACCTTCCAGGTCCAGGGCTGCAGCTGCTGTCAGACACCCTTCACAGGAGCAGATGGTGCTCACAGTTGGGACCCTGTCAGTGCCCAAGGACACCCAGGGCCCTGCTGGGTTCCCACCTGCAAGCTCTCTTCCTAGACAATGCACCTGCACTCAAGCTTCTGGGGCCACCAGTGTCTGCCAAGAACAGGTAATGTCTGCAAAGGGAGATATGATAAAGCCACTGCTCAGTCCACGGAGGCTCATACAAATTTATAATATTAACAACCCTCAAGGGGACCTAAGCAATGTACAAGACACTGGGGATACTGTAGAGAATAAAACAGAGCTTCTGCCCTCCTACAGCTTACACTGTAGGAGTGGGATGGGGTGGGGGAAAACACTTAACAAATCACTTCATATTTTTAATGTTCAATATCCATTCTTTTTAAAAAAGTAAACTGTAATATTTATTAAGGTACAACTTCATACAACACAAAGCTCAGTGCTGGGGATATAGCTCAGTTGGTAGAGTGCTCACCTCACATGCACAAGGCCCTGGGTTCAATCCCCAGCACTATAAATAAATAAATAGCACAGATCTCAAATGTTCAGCTATGAGTTTTTTTAATGGTTTTTATTTTTTATTGATTTTTATTTTTTAGTTGTAGTTGTACACAATACCTTTACTTTTATATGGTGCTGAGGCTCGAACCCAGGGCCTCGCACATGCTAGGCGAGTACTCTACCACTGAGCCACAACCCCAGCCTCAGTTATGAGTTTTGACATTTATGTACACTCATGTAACCATCATACAAAATAAGATATAGAGCATTTCTAAAACCCCCCAAATTTCCATGTAAGTACCTCCCTTCAGTTAACCCCCGACTCAACAAGGACAACCACTTGTCTGATTTTTATCACATAGTTAAGCTTTCCTGTCCTGGGTCTTTATATTTGAAACCATACAGAATGTACCCATTTATATCTGCTTCTTTGCTCAGTGTAATTTTTTTCTTTTAGCTGCATTCATTTTGTATCAATTGTTCATTCTTTCTTTTTTTAAAAAATATTTTTTTAGTTGTTGATAGATCTTTATTTTTTTATTTATTTATACATGGTGCTAAGAATCGAACCCAATGCCTCACACATACCAGGCAAGTGTGCTACCACTGAGCCACAGCCCCTGTTCATTCTTTCTTAATGCTGAATAGTATTCTAGTGTATGACTGTTTCACAATTTGCTTGTCACTTGTTGGTGGACATCTGTATTATTTTCCAATGTGTTTTTATTTAAGCTGTTATGAACATTCTTGTACAAGTCTGTTTTGTAGATATGCACTGGTATTTGTTTTCAATAAGTACATACAAATGGAATTGCTGGGACCTAGAAAGATTCATATTTAATTTCTTATTTCTTATTTTAATTTCTTATTAAAAAAAAAAAAAAACTTCCAAAGAGTTCTCCGGTAGTGGTTGTACCATTTTGTACTGCCATGAGCAAAACATGAGAGTTCCAGTTGTTCTACATAGTGGGTGACATTTGCATTGTCATCTTTAATTTTAGCCACTCTGGTGAGTGTGCAGTGATTTCTCATAGTGATCTTAATTTGCATTTCCCTGATGATGAATCATGTTGAGTTCCATTTCAGATGGCTTATTGGCCATTTGTGTATCTTAGATTGTGAAATGTTTTCAAATCTTTTACCATTATTTATTTGTAAAAATTCTTTATATATTCTAGATAACAGTCCTTTGTTAGATATTTATAATAAAAATACTGCCTCATTCTGATTTGCCTATTAATTTTCTCAACAATGTTTTGCAAAAAGCAAATATTCAATTTTGATGAACTACTTTCTTAAATTGTCAAGGTTTTTTTTTTTTGGTGTGTGTGTGTGTGCATGTTACATTCTGACTAAAAGAATCTTACTGACTCTAAAGTTGTACACATATTCTTTGAAAGTTTTCTTCTAGAAACTTCATGTTTTGAACTTTTACATCTAGGCATATGTTCCTTCTTGCTTTTAATTGTTTGTGTGGAATGAAGTAAGGACAGATATTCAATACTTTCCATATGGATAGTCACTTACTGTGTCATAGGATCAGGCTTCAGCCAACTACTGATGGAAATTGGCATATAAATATCTCAGTTTCCTCACTCCTCAAGTGGAGTAACCCTGAGGTTTCTGTTATATCCTGTTTTCCAGAATACCCCAGGGGGATTTAGCTCCACATGGTAGGGGTTTGGGGAGAAGGTTTGTTAATTTGTTTCCTAACTTACCTTCTTTGCCTCCCTCCCCTACCAGTTTTCTTTTGATCACCTCTTAAATGAATTACTTGCACTTGAATCCTTCTTCCAGGATCTGCTTCTGGGGAAGCATAAACTAAGATGGTAAAAAGCAAGACCAGCAGTCCTTGCCCCGGGAAGATTTAGATTAATATAGTTACATGCAAGCTCGCGGTGCAAAAGGCATTCAGAGGAAGAAGTCATTCTCACATCCAAAGAAGACCCTCCCATGCCTTGCTGATAAGCAGTAACAGAACAACATTTGTGGTCCAAACTAATAAATGACAGGTGACTCTGAGCTAAAACATCTGTTACCAGATAGGGGGGGGGGGAACTGGCCCCTGAAGTTTAAAGAAAAAAAAAAAGTATTTACTTCCCTAAATTTTTTTTTTTTGTCCAAAATCCTTTTACTGTGTAACTCTCTTTTGAAGGTGATAATCAGCATCATTTCAGGAAGACACTGCAGAACTGGTTTTGAAACCCTAGCATGTCTCTTTCAAAGCAAATTAGGGACCCTAGCCATCCCTAGGCTATTGAGTCAGTAAAGGAAATGATGGCTCTTGTTTCCTTGGGTCCCCTAGGTGACTGAATGACAGAGGAATCTGCACCTTCACTCTTCCTCCTGTGTCCCTCAGCAATAGCACACAGAGTGGTTGAGAACTGCAGAGCACTATGGGGGACTGAGGGGTTTTCCTGATTGCATCAGTGAAGCCAGATGAGCTGTCAGACCTGGGGTTGCTGTGTATAGAGGGGTGTTCCCATGGAACTTATACTCACGCTAGAAAGC